CTGCACCACAGGCAGGGCTGGAGCGAGGCTGCGATTGCCAGTGGCCCCCGAGCCCCGTGGGTGACATGGCCACCGTGAAATATCCCCATGTGGGCCACTGTGCCTGCCGGGCAGGGTGACAGCACCGCAGAGAAACCTAACGCTGTCCTCCCCAGGGCTCCACGCAGCGCCTGAGAGCCCAGAGAGCACCCGGCAGAGCTGCTGTCTGCCTTTGCCTGCCCTGCGTCCCTCTGCACCTCGGGGAGTTCTGCCCAGGGCGGCAGCAGGGTCGGACAGCCCCGGCAGGGCAGGCTCGGGTAGCGATGCTGCACCATGCAGCGCAGGGCTCGGGCTGCGGCCGTGGGGCTGGTTCTGCCGCAGGACAAAGTGCTATTAGCACCTTGGCTTGGGAGCTGGGAGGGCGGGAGGGAGCAGCAGGGCTCCTAGGAGCAGTTACCAGCAAGAAAGGGCGAGGATCTCGCCCGGGAGGTGTTGCGCGTGCCTGACATTTAACATCAGGTTGCCGGGGTCAAGCCCCAACACACAGTTCTCTGTAACTTGGTTTCTGTAGGTGGCTTTGCAGAAACACCAGCAAACGATGGTTCCTGGAGCTGCCTTCTGAGAACCCCATTTTAGAAGAGGCGGTGCAGCTCGCGCAGGCACGCCGGCAAGCCCAGCTCAGGGCTGTCTGGGGACGCAGCTCACTGCTTGGCCAGCCCCCACCTCCCTCCCTCCCTGCACCCTAGAGGGGCAGAGCCCTCAGAGTCATGGGGTACCTGCAAAACGCAAGCAAAAAGTTGTTAGTCCTGCGTGTGAAAATTAAGAGGAGTGTGCTGCAGCACAAGGGTTGGCTCAGAAACCACCCTGGAAGGAGGGGACCCCTGGAGCAGGCACCTGGCTGGTGGCCACTGCCGCGGGAAGAGTTTACTCTGTTCGCTGAAGCCCATGTGCTGGACTTGCCAGGACAGCGAGGCCCTGGGCAGGTGCGATGGAGAGAGGCAGGCAGAGGGCTTAACACCCACCTTGCCAGAAGAAAATGGGGGAAAACACAAAGATCAGGATGGTCTCCTCCGAGCTCCCTGATCCCCCTCTCTGGCCATCCAGGTTTGGCCCCAGGCTGTGCGTGGGAGAAGGGCAGGAATTGAGCTCTCTGGGACCGGACAGGATGGGGAGCCCTGGGGCAGGGTGGAGGGGACGGTGGGAGCCATCCCAGGATTTTCAGCCTTGAAATCAAGGGGGCTTTGAAGCAGGCTTCCTCCAGGCTTGGATGGCCCTGCCTGTCTCCTGCCCTGCCAGTGAGCAGGTGCGGGTGGAGAGCCCGTGAATAAGGGACTTACGCTATGAATAACGCCATGAGAAATGTGCAGGTGAGGAGTGCAGGCACAGGCTCTCCACCGGCCTCGATCATCTGCTCCGCAGCTGCTGCTCTGGCAGCCAGGGGCTGGGGTGAGCGGAGCACGTGGCACTGAGGGACACGGGTCCGGGGTCTGGGAATCAGAAAGTACACAATGGACCTGGGCTTTTTTCCTTTTAATCTGGATATTTTCACTTGTTTCTCCCAGATGTGAGTTCTGGGTTAAGCAAAGCATCTCCTAGCTCATGCCCACAGAGGAAGGAGACGACCTCTGCTTTCTCCCTCCACAATGTGAAAGCATCACTCCATTAGCAACGGAGTGAAAAAGCCTCTAGAGAAACTAGAGGGAAACGGCATTTCATTTCCCTTGAACAGGGCTTCTCAGTCACCTGGGGCGCATGAGAGGGTTTTTGCTGGGGCGACACGGCGGCACACCCCCTCCTCTCCCATCCTCAGCCGGCGCTTGCAGCCCTGGGCCAGGGCAGGAGAGGTGCAGGTGAGTGCGTGGTGGGCGCGTGGTGGAGAAGAGGGGCCTTGGGGGGCAATAGAGAGATGAGGAACCCCAGTGCCTGGGATGCTGCTCTCCCCTGGGGCCAGACCTCACCTGCTCCCAGACTAGCAGACCTTTGGCCGCAGCCGAGGCTCCTGCTGCCCCTGCCCAGCGTTCCCTGGCCCCGGCAGCAGAGGCAGTTATTTTGCATGCTGTGCCTGGAGGAGTTGGGAAACAGGCAGCAGTGGAGCCGGGCAGCAGGTCGGACTGGTTTCCCTCCGCACCCGGCGCTGGCACTGACGTACGAGCCCGCTCGCCAAACAGATTCTGCCCCGTCCCTGCGGACCTGACTTTGCTCTGCACTGTGCTGCGCAGCGAAGGATGGCTGTGCCGGAGCTGTGACCCCAGCCCAGCCCTGCAGCGGCCGATGGACGGGAAAACCTCTCCGGTAAGGCAAGGGCAGCTCCTCCAGCTCTGGCCCTGCTAGGAGAGCCGGGGTTGCTCTGTGCCTGGAAGGACCTGCTCTCCTCCAGCTTTGGTGGAGGGCCCGGTTTCTCCGGCAGCGGCCGATGGACGGGAAAACCTCTCCGGTAAGGCAAGGGCAGCTCCTCCAGCTCTGGCCCTGCTAGGAGAGCCGGGGTTGCTCTGTGCCTGGAAGGACCTGCTCTCCTCCAGCTTTGGTGGAGGGCCCGGTTTCTCCGTCCTGCTCTCCAGGGCGTTGCCGTTGCTGCCAGCGGGGAGAAGGACCCATGGCGAGCTGCCTGTGGGGCTGCTGCCTCGGGCACCCCTCCCCGCTGTCAGCCCCGTGCTGGTGGTGGAGGCGTCAGGGCCACTGGCACTGCTGCTTTTCCACGTTGGAGCGGATTTGCGAACCAGGGGGACCGGGTGGTGGGGTGGGCTGGCACTGCTGGTGGGAGCCGGCGCCGCTTGGCACCCATGGGGGCTGCACGCTGGTGGTCCCGGCCCCCGCCGCCGTCCCTCACCCGCTCTCCCGGC